TTTTCAGCTGGCCTCAACGTGAAAGCCTCTCCTCCTCCCCATCTTTTTTCTAAGCTACCCTCCAAGACTTCCTATTACAGAGCCTAAAGCAGAGACAACAACGTGTTTCAAGAGCTCTAGGTCTTTATTATGGTGAAATCATAACATCTAAAATCCAATTCAGGCCTTGCTATAAATAAGGATAATGAAGAATTTAATGATATTTCCACTAAAATTAGTTAGAAGGCAAACTTTAAAAAATGACACAGATCATTAACTGGGAATATTTCTCAGAAGAGATTTGTTATATTAAAAAGGCCCTGAAATTACTAGCGTTAATCAACTGTATTGTATTAAAAACTCTGTATAGATTAATTAAGTACTTTAAATATGAAGAAATAAAAAAATGGCGGAATAGGGGAATCATGGGCTTGAATCTAGGTCTTCTGCCATGCCGCTTTCCCTGCATTTCTTAAGTGCCTAATTTAATAAGTATTCAGATTAAGTAATTTCTTCTTGGTTGGCCTAAGCTCTTTTTAATACGCAAAGTCATATGTAACGAAGTTCCTAGGTAGGAGATGGGCACTGCTTTTCCTGCAGCTTCCTTTAATTCAGACCCTGGCCTCTTTTTTCTGCCCCTCCTATGGCTGCATCCGGTCAGGAACGGCCAAATGAAGTCTGCCGAATACAGTTTCTGCCTTTTAATATTCAGCTGAGATTCCTTGGCTCATGCCTACCGTACCTGGTGTTTCAAGATGGTCTCCTGTCTGAACAAATCTGTTATTGCTCAGCCATTAACATCAGATAAGCAGCATGTTCAGCCCAGTGCACCTAATGCCCTTAGGCACAAACATCCTTGCACAGGAATGTCTCATCAAACCAACTTCATTGAAAACACAGTTTTTTTAAAGGTACTGTCAAATAGGTAGGCCATGGTTTGCCTTTCTCCTTGTGGGAACCGAATGAAGCTGTTCCTCCTCACCTGGGGCTGGGACAGCCTTCTGCAATGCTAGAAACCAAGATAGTTAATCTGCTGATGGATCAGCAGCAAGATGAGGCCTGCAGGAACCTCTTCAGGGTAGACAAGGGCTCCAGGAGTACACAGTCCACTCCTACAGCAATTTACCTCATCGGCACGCGTGTTTTATAAAATACTGGAATATTCAGTTAGCTCTCGCAAAAAAAAAAAAAAAGTGCCTTGCTATTACGGCACAGGAAAAGCAAACTTTTACTTGCCTCACTGAATGTTGCAACAACATTTTTCCAGTTCAGCTTTCATTAGGCCCATTTGCACCAGAGATATTCAAGAACTACAGAAGAAATAACTGAAGTGCTCCCTCTGCCCACTGTGCATTTACAATGAAGAAGCATCCGTAACAGCGGTTGATAGGGCTCTGTTCTCCCTACCCCAAGATAAAAGGTAAAAATCTGTTTTCTCGTAGAAAGGCCTGTGATGAGATTTATAAATGCTGAAACTTTAGACCTGGCTTCCTCCCATCTTACAGGTGTACACATCATGGCCCAGCCTCCTAAAATAGTGAGAACGTGCTAATAGACTTTGGAAATCTTGGGCATTTGCAAATGTACGTTGTTTCCAAGCCCCTGTGGTAGCACTACAAACAGAATTTGCTCTAGATATCCTCTGGGCCAGTACTGCAACTGAAAAGGTAATCCAGAAGTAGAGCATTACATTTTTTTTAAACTAAATAATTAAAGTCAAAAGCTGGGCGGTTTAAACATCAAGAAACTTCTTCTCTGAAGACTTAGATGTTTTTGAAAAGAGGGCTTAATATTAAGCAAATAAAAAACCATTCTTTTACTGTTTGGCTCACTAGTAGGTATTGTGATATATCTTTGGGGCCCTACCGTTTTATTTCTACTGCGTGGTGTTTTTCATGATATTGGGCAATACAGCAGATTGTGTCTCAGAAACAGGTCACCTGCAGATTTGCTACAGCTGCTATACAGAAAAATTCCTAAAAACATAAAAGCTCTTCAGCCAAGACCCCAATGCTCAGGGAGCCATTCTGTGTAAAGGCAGTTTTGTTACAGTGCATCGCACATTCTGGGCACACTCGCTAGTTATGTGATAAAAATACTGACATACATTTCTGTAAAATGTGAGCGCACTTAAAATAACCTGAAATGTTTGTAGCGGCAGACTATCACTCAGAGGGAACGAGCTAACTTCTCTCTCTCTCTTTTTTTTTTTTAATTTTTCTTTTATGGAGGCAGTAAATCAGAGGATTCCTTCACCTGTGAAGTTCAGCTCAAAGGATACACTTGTAATTATATTAATTGAAACATCTGGGCACTCTCTCACCCTGGAATTAGGCTGGTGCTACATGCAAGACTTATCTTCCGCAATTTGTTTTAAAAATCGCAAAATAAGCACTTTTCTGGCGGTTTTTGCATTTCCCACTTTTCCTGGCGGTATTTTTCCAGCCCCTGCGCCCGGGTCAGCAGGAGCCGCCTTGCGGGTGGCCG